AAGGACATGAACCCAAAAGGTAACAGTGGAAGGATTATTAGTAACTTAAACCTTCCTTCCTTCCTTTTTATCTCATGCTTAAATTTTTTCTATAAGAAACAAAGACATGGGCTGGGGTTGTGGCCCAGCGGTAGAGCTCTTGACTAGCATGTGTAAGGTACTGGGTTCAATCCTCAGCACCACATAAAAATAAATACATAAATAAAGGTATTGTGTCTTCATTACAACTTAAAAAAATATATATATATATAAAATAAACAAAGGCATATCAAGGAATAAAACTGCGTAGGCAGGTCAAGTGTGGGGGGGCATTCCTGCAGAGGGAACAGTGTTTGGGAAATACAGAGAGCCCAAAAGTGTGCATTACTGGGAAATGACGGCCTCAGTGCAGCCTGAGAGAGTGGGAACAGAGGATGGGAAGAAGGAGCATCTAGGAGTCTTGAGAGCCATGGGTGGGCTTCATCCAATTAGAGGTACATGGCCAAAAGACAGAAGTCAAGAGGGCTTGAGGCTGGGTCCATGAGGTTGAAGGGTGGACTTCACTCCATGTGGGTCATAAAGAGTCACTGCAGAGAGACTAAAACACCAGAGCCAAGAGTAGGGCAGGACTGGGCAGGAAAGTACCGAGCAGCAAAGCTGGATGCCAGAGGCTCCCTGAGGCTAGCGTTTATGAATGGGACAGCCACAACACACACCACAACTCCATCAAGGGGACTTGCCCCTGGCTGGCCAGAAACATTCTGAATATTGAGGCCAGAACACTGGCCATCCCTTTTGTCCCTGACCCTCAACAAAAATATGGTAACGAATGATGTCTGCCAGCATGCACTCTCCTCAATCCCTAGCTCCTTTCCCTCTTCACTTACTCAAAGTCACTCATTCAGCACTGCGGCTTCGTGTAGGCTGCAGAGTTAATAAGGCTCCTGCTTCCTGGAACTATTGATGTACTAGATGAGGAAGTTGTAACCTCAGTGCAGTGTGGGAACCTCTTGGTGCAGGCCTTCCTGGTTGCTATGGGAACCCATAAGCAGAACATCTGCCACAGACCAGGAAGGGCCAAGAAAGGCCTCCTCAAGTAAATTCAACTCAAGACCCAAAGGGTTTTAGAGGAGAAGGCTGAGAGGGTCACACTCAGGTTAGGGAAGATGTTCCTTTGCTGCAGTGAGGAGATGATCTGGAAGGAGGACATAGGACTAGTTAGGAGGTCACAGTGACGATATGCAGGCAAAAGCAATGGTGTGCTAAGTAGGATGGCCTAGGGAGATGCAGGAAAGGGGTGGACTGAAGAAACATCCAGGAGGATGAGTGTTAGGTCACAGGTCAGAGGCTACCCCGATTTCCAACCACAACCAGTAGGTAAACAGTGGTGCCATCTACCAAGACAGGAACACTGGACACAAGTGGCCAATTTGCAAGATAAGATCAGTTTAGGATACAATCCATCTGTGGTGATGAAGAACATGGAGTTCAGGAGCACTTTCTGGTCAAGACATAAGTGGCAAACTTGGGATATGCTGAAGCCAAGGGGATTGAATCTGCTCCTCCAAGTGCCAGCTTTGAAAGAAAAGGAGGGCTATGAAGTAATTAATCCTGGGGACTGCCTACCTTCAAGGCTATAAAAAGGAATAGCTGCAAGAGAGAAAGCAAGCGAGCATGGCTTCAAGGGTAGAAAGATAGCCAGGGTGGGTGGTTTACAAAAGCCAGAGTAAGCCAGAGTAAGGGGATGCTTCTAGAAGGAAGTCATGGGGAAAAAAGGAAAAACAAAATGGAGTGGAGATGGAGAATTTGACAGTCTATGCATGGAAGAATATGCAGATCCATGGCTCTCACCTAGGGGCCATTCTGCCTCCAACAGGACACAGAGCAGTGTCTAGGGACATGATTGGGTTTTTACAACTCCAAGCAGGTGGAGGCCAAGGATGCTGCTCAACACCCTTCAATGCACAGCCTGGCTCCAGATAGAATTATCTAGTCCTAAATGTCAATAGTGCTGACACAGAAAACCCTTGAGCAAGAGGAAGTTGGAGCTGGGCATGGTGGCACCTGCCTGTAATCCTAGTGGCTTGGGAGGCTGAGGCAGGAAGATTGAGAGTTCAAAGCCAGCCTCAGTAACAGTGAGGTACTAAGCAACTCAGTGAGATCCTGTCTCTAAAGAAAATACAAAATAGGGCTGGGGATGTGGCTCAGTGGTTGAGTGCCTCTGGGTTCAATCCCCAGTACCCCACCTTCGCCAAAAAAAGAGGAAGTTGGGAAGTCCAGAAAGAACTGTTGAACAATGATGGGGTGATCCTGCAAAGACCCAGACAAGCTATTGGTTCCATTATGAAGTAGGAGGTAGTCATCAGCTGAGAGTGAGTGTGGTTATAGGCCAGAGGAAAAACACATTGAAATGGTAGTTATGGAGGTTGGAGACACCCAAAGAATAAACTGAATAGGCCAGGATTGGACTCAGCAACATGACTATCTGGCTGGGGGTAAAAGACTTTCTTGCTGGGGTGGGCAGCTGTAGTTCTGATCAGTATAAAGCAAACTGGTGTCACAAAATGACAGACAGACAGTGAAATTTAAGTCCATAGCCCCAGGATCACCTAGTGAAGAAGTTACCATATGCTGGTAGCAAGAGGAGAGAAATGAGGCTCAGCAGGTACAGTGGTGCACACCTGTCAGTCATCCCAGAGGCTTGGGAGGTGGACACAGGAGGATCCAAAGTTTGAGGCCAGCCTCAGCAACTTAGCAAGGCACTAAAAACTTAGCAAGACCCTGCCTAAGAATAAAAATATAAAAAGGGCTGGGGATGTGGCTCAAGAGGTTAAGTGCCCCTGGGTTAAAAAAAGAAAAAAAAAAAAAAAAAAAAAGAAGAAATGAGGGCTCACTGAGCTTTAGATAAAGCTCTGTGTGAGGACTCTAAAGATGACGAAGTAGAGCTGGGGGCCCATGTAAATCTCCTCTACAACCCCTAGCTCACTGACCACTGCCTAAGAAGAAGATAAAACTTATCTCTGAATTTTCATATCATACTTCCACTGGATTCTTTGGCTCCCAAAATCAGTTCATCAAGCCTAGTTGTTCTACTTGCATAGCTTATATTTCTCTGAAAACCACAACAGATCAATGAACATCAAAGAAATCAGATAAAGTCAGGTAACCCTTACAAATCAGATTCTAATGCTGGGAATATCAATTGTGCTGATATTCCCTTCCACCAGAACACAAATGGGGAAAGGCAAGACTTGTTAGAGGCACTGGAGAGTTTAAAACCTTTCTGACAGGATTCTTCTTTTTTTTGTGTGTGTGTGTATGTGTGTGTGTATATGTGTGTGCTGGGGATTGAATCCAGGGGTGCTTTACTTCTGAGATGCATCTCTAGCTTTTTTTTTTTTTTTAATTTTGAGACAGGGAGAAAAAAAAGTTGCCCAGGCTGGCCTCAAAGTTGCAATCCTGGGCTGGGGATGTGGCTCAAGCGGTAGCGGGCTCGCCTGGCATGTGTGCGGCCCGGGTTCGATCCCCAGCACCACATACCAACAAAGATGTTGTGTCCGCCGAGAACTAAAAAAAAACTAAAAAATAAATATTAAAAAAAAAAAAAAAAGTTGCAATCCTTCTGCCTCAGGCTTCCAAGTAGCTCGGATTATGGATGGGTACTACTGTGCCTGGCAGGACAGGATTCTTATTTAGAATGGTGTTCTAAAACATTCTAATACTGTTCAAATTTTCCTTCTTCTTCTTCTTTTTTTAATATGTGGTGCTGGGGATCGAACCCAGGCTCTTGTGCATGCAAGGCAAGCTCTACCAACTGAGCTATATCCCGAGCCCAAGTTTTTATATTATCTAAAGTTTCTCTTTAGAAAGTGTTTATTAAATAAGACTCTCAGATTAGGATGAAGAAGAGGCTTTTGGGTTCAATGCCTCCATCTGATGAGCTAATTCTCTGGATAGCCATTAGACAAACTTTATAGGGGTCATCCAGGGGTCAGGTGTCTTGAAGTTACTGGGAAAATGTTGAAGGTTGATGAAGCTAGACCACGAGTACACTGAGTTCACTATGTTACTCTTTGTTCATGTATACTTGACATTTTTCATAACAAGAATGAAGGTTGTTTTTTGTTTTTAAACTTTAAATTTGTTTATAGGATAGAGAATCCTCACTCCTAAGAGGACTGCTCATTCCCCTCATTAGGTAGGGGGGGTGGGGGAGGTGAGAAGGAGCAGGAAGAAGATGAGAGCTCCTCAGAACAACAGTTCTCTGAGGAGAAAAGAAAGAAACAGTGCTTTGGAGCACTGGGTCTTTTCTTTGCTCCAGAATCCCCAAAGCCATACTCTCAGAATGGAGACCAACTCTTAGGTAGGGCCTCAACAGAAACCTGGCCTTCTCCAAACACCTGCAAGCCAGGGAATATCAGGCCATAAGCGCTGCCACCTCTGTTTCATGGACAGGGACAGGGAGCCTAGAAGTCATACAGTGAGGGAGCAGAGGAGCAGGGATGTCAGTTGCTCTGCTCTTGCCCCACAGTGTTCAAGCCGGGTAGAGTGCAGAAGTTCAAGTTGATGGCGTGAAAATGAACAACAGGGTCCTGGTGCCAGCTGGACTGTGCATGGGGGTCTGTAGAGACACAGGCACAGGCCTGACAGTACCTGCCCACAGCAGGGAGTCACTCCCACACATGGACTTGATTAACCTGTGCAGAACAAGCTGCTGGCCCCTTTTAGCTTTCAAAGCATTCTGTTTCTGCTGGCTCCTCAGTTTTCCTCTGCTCTCATGTCTTAATTTTGTACGTGTACTCTGTTTTACAAAGAATCTTTCATCTTTTAGAAACCTACCCAATCTTATGCAAGGGCAGTGGAAAAAGAGAGTTTGAGATTAAAAATAAAATTTCACAGCCATTGCTCCACAGCTATGGCTATTCTGCACTGAGGAATGTGACAGAGTCACAGGCAGGCAAGTGAGTGCTTAACAGGACAGCCGCCGGTACCTGCTTCATAAAAACCTCTCATGTCTTTACCTGCTACTTTATCCCGAATAAGTTTTGCAGATTCAACTTCACCAATGCTGCTGAATAGACTTCGCAACTCGTCCTGGGTCATGTTCTGAGGGAGGTAGTTGACAATTAGATTTGTTCTCCCAATGTCGTCCCTGCAGTCTTCGGCCATGTGGTCTTCATAACCATTAGACATTGTATTTCTTAAAAATCTGTAAAGAAAAATAAGATCAAGTAAGTTCCAAATGTTCACACTGCAATATATAAACGCAAAACTAATGACTAGGTTCATATTTGGGAGATTTTGACTGTGGCAACAAAAAACCTGACCATGAATGCTCATGGCAGCTTTACACATAACTGCCCAAACCTGGAAGCAACCTGAACACTTCTCCTCAATGCATGGACAGAAAATAAACTCCATTCCTATGGTACATCAGAAAATGAAGTATTATTCAGTGCTTAAGAGAAATGAACTATTAAGCCACAAAGACCAGGAGGAACTTTATTTTTTGTTTATTTTTTATTTTTATTTTTTGGCGGGCTGGGGATTGAATATAAACCCTCGCACGTGTCAGGCAAGCACTCCACTATTGAGCTACACCCCCCAGTCCAAAAGGATGAATTTTAAATGCATATTGCTGAGTGAAAGAAACTATGACATTCTAGAAAAAAGGCCAAAGTATGGAGACAGTAAAAAGGTCAGGGATTGTCAGGGATGAGGATGGGGAGGGACGAATAGGTAGAGCACAAGAGATTTTTAGGGCAGCAAGGGTTCTGTAGTATTTTCTAATGGATGCAGGACATTATATGTTTGTCAAAGACCACTTGACATATAACACAAAGAATTAAGATTGATGTAAATTACAGGCTTTAGTTAATAACAATTATCAATATTGGCTCATCAATTATAACAAATGTACCACACTAATATAAGATGCTTTTAGTCCCAGGTGTGGTGTACACAGGAGAGGTCTGAGGGAACTCACTATAGTTCCTGTAAACCTAAAACCACTCTAAAAAGTAGTCACAAAATAGAACAACTCCAAGTTCACCCACGTCCACTGACAGGGCTTTAAAGTAACTTAGACCCAATTCCAGTACCATGAATCAAGTTCCTGTGAAGAGTGTTTGAGCTTTCTCTCAAGAGCTTCTGGCTGCTTTCTCCCTGTGTCCAGTGCTGATTCTGGCTGGCTACTGCAAGCCTGTGATGTGTACCCCAACATCCCAACCACGGCCACCCTGTCTGTTATCACGCAGGCAGGCAAAATTCCTTGTGCCCTTTATCTCCAAAGACCCAGGGACTGAGCTGGAAAGAGGTTGGTGTTTCTCTACCAGTCAGAGGAGCCTGGTTTTCATGGCTTTCTTAGAAACACCCAGCCTGCCACAGTCTTCAATTTCAATGACCAACATCGAAGCCCAAGATGGATTTAGAGAAATGTCTGGAGTGATGTAGCCTAGAGCAGGAAGATCACTCTTCTTAAGTGTAGCCTACACTGGTTTATTGGCAAGTCAGAGCGATGCCTAACATAAGCAGTTCCACGTCCCCGCCTCTGAATATGTAGGCACCACCCACCTACCACCCAGAGGTCTCAGAGGGCAGCCCCCCTTTTTCTGGATCCCTGATGTGCAGTGTTAGGTTTGAATACCCAGAGCCCACGGTCATAAGCCCTTCTTTAAAAATAGCCTTGCCAGAGTTACATAAAACTCTAAACATCTCTTGCAGAGATTTCCCACCTAGCCCTTGAATCAACACTAGGAGAGGAATTGGGCCTGGTTGCTTTATTCCTGGTAGAAATGTTCAGGTCTTCCCTAGCCTACCTACTCTCAGGCAAATGTGCATAATTAGTACACTTTCCTAGCATTTCTGCTACTTATTTGAAGGTATCTCTGTTCCTTGCTCTTTATAAAGTAGGTTCACTTCGAAAAAAGACTAGAAAGTTAAACATCATAAAATTAAAAACTTTCTGTAGGGCAAAAAGCATCATAAACAAAGACAAGCAACAAAAAACAGAAAATATTTGCTGCACATTATTTACATCAAGGGTTCTCAGGTTGGGCAATTCTTTTTTTTTTTTTTTTAGAGTATTGTAATTTTTTTTTTATTGTTGGTCGTTCAAAACATTACATCTAATTTGATATATTTCACAGTTTGATTCAAAAGGGTTATGAACTCCCATTTTTACCCCGTATACAGATTGCTGAATCACATCAGTTACATCAATTACATTTCCATTGATTTACATATTGCCATTCTAGTGTCTGATGTATTCTGCTCTCTATCCTATTCTCTACTATCCCCCTCCCCTCCCCTCCCCTCCCCTCTTCTCTCTCAACCCCCTGTACTGTAAAACACTTCTTCCACTTGTATTATTCTTTCCTTACCCCTCACTTCCTCTTGTATGTAATTTTGTATAACCCTGAGGATCACCATCCCTTTCCATGCAATTTCCCTTCTCTCTCCCTTTCCCTCCCTCCTCTCATCCCTATTAATGTTGATCTTCTTCTCCTGCTCTTCGTCCCTACTCTGTCCTTAGTTACTCCTCTTATATCAAAGAAGTCATTTGGCATTTGTTTTTTAAGGATTGGCTAGCTTCACTTAGCATAATCTGCTCTAATGCCGTCCATTTCCCTCCGAATTCTATGATTTTGTCGTTTCTTAATGCAGAGTAATACTCCATTGTGTATAAATGCTACATTTTTTTATCCATTCATCTATTGAAGGGCATCTAGGTTGGTTCCACAATCTTGCTATCGTGAATTGTGCTGCTATGAACATCGATGTAGCAGTGTCCCTGTAGCATGCTCTTATTAGGTCTTTGGGGAATAGACCGAGAAGGGGAATAGCTGGGTCAAATGGTGGTTCCATTCCCAGCTTTCCAAGAAATCTCCATACTGCTTTCCAAATTGGCTGCACCAATTTGCAGTCCCACCAACAATGAACCAGTGTACCCTTTTCCCCACATCCTCGCCAACACTTGTTGTTATTTGACTTCATAATGGCTGCCATTCTTACTGGAGTGAGATGGTATCTTAGGGTGGTTTTGATTTGCATTTCTCTGACTGCTAGCGATGTTGAGCATTTTTTCATGTACTTATTGATTGATTGTATGTCCTCCTCTGAGAAGTGTCTGTTCAGGTCCTTGGCCCATTTGTTGATTGGGTTATTTGTTGTCTTTTTTCTAATTTTTTGAGTTCCTTGTATACTCTGGATATTAGGGCTCTATCTGAAGTGTGAGGAGTAAAGATTTGTTCAGGTTGGGCAATTCTGCTCCCAAAGGACACTGGGCAATTTTTCTGCAGCCATTTTTGGTTAGCATCACTTGGGGGCAAGGATGCTACTGGCATCTAGTGGATAGAGGCCAGTTTGCTATCAACTAAACCTTCTACAAGGTGCAGAAGAATGCCCATAACATCCAGCCTGAAATGTCAACACTGCTGAGGTTGAGAAAACTTAATTCACAGCATCTAATTTAAAAAACGCAACATATTACATAGGCAGGCAAGACACAGCAAAGTGGACAAGGATATGGTCTACAACTTATGGATGCTGGCAATTCCTATGATGCTAAGCCCATGAAAAGCTCAACTTCATGAACAATGAAGAAAAATGAAATGAGACGCTGCTTTCTGCCAGTCAGAAGGAATAAAATCCAGGATAGACAAAATCTACTGAAAGTAAGGATAAAAGGGAGAGACAGACTCATTGACTGTTGACAGGAATGGAAGATGGTCCAACCTTTTTGGAGGATAACCTGGCAGTGCCTACCAAAATTTTTCAGGTAAATGCTACCACATGACTCAGAACTGAAGGAATCTATTACACAAAAACAAGCACACATGTGCAGGTTAATAAGCAAGAACACAACACACGCCATGGCTTGTAGAAGTATAAAATTGAACATAACCTACATATATATTAAAAGGGGATGGCTAATAAATATCAACTTTCAATAGAAAGTATTAAAGTTTAATCAAGAAAACCTCCATGAATCTGTTAAATCATCTGTGGCTATGAGATTTTAAAATAGATCATGAGCTATAAATGATCAAAAATAAACAAATGAACAAAAACATCTGCTGAAGCCTGATCCAAAGAACACAGGTTAATGTGAAATTAACCTATGAAAAATTAAAATGCACACTGAAGTTTTCTTCAAGATGTATTCAAACATTTGTCTTCTTTTATCCTTTAAAAAGTTTTTAATTGTAGATGGACACAATACCTTTATTTTATTAATTTTATGTGGTGCTGAGGATGGAACCCAGTGCCTCACACGTGCTAGGCAAGCATTCCACCACTGAGCTACAATCCCAGTCCCCTTTCTTCTCTATTTTTTCCTCTTTCCTCTCCTCACTTTTTCTCTAAGAGTTAGGCATCTCCTCTTCTGTTTTTCCCTCATCCTGCTTTCATGGAGCATGAACTGGACAATGGTTACCCCCACTCTTATCATTCTCCTTGCCTGGTAAAAAGTAGACCTTCTAACATGGGACTGCTCACCATGCTCTGCAGGATGAGTCCAGTCCACTGCCTGTTTATATAAAGTTTTATTGAAACACAATCCCTCTTACTTGTTTACATACTGCCTGTAGCTACTTTTTGCTATCATGACAGAGCTGAGTAGTAACAACCTAGTACCGACCATATGGCCCACAGAGCTGAAAATATTTACCATCTGGCTCTTACAGAAAAAGTTTGCTGACCTCTGTTCTAAAATGCAAAAAATCCAAAAAATCTTTTGGATTTTGTGACATTGAATTAGGCAAAAATTTCTTAGAATACCAAAAGCTTTCTTTTCTAAAACACTGATAAACTGACTATCATAAAAATTTAAAATACAGGAAGAATTAAAATCCAGTCTGGAGAAAATATTTGCATAAAAGAGCTTGTATTCAGTGTGTGCGCACACACACACACACTCACTCCACTTTTTCTTTCAGTGCTAAGGATCAATCCCAGGGCCTCATTCATGCTAGGCAAATACTCTATCATGGAACTACCTCCCCAGCCCCAGAATGTTTTTTACAAGTTCTCAAAACAAACAAACAAACAAAAATCCAATTTCAAAATTACCAAAAGATTTGAACACTGCATCAAGTAAGATAGACAGATGGCAAATAAGTATATGAAAACATGTTTAACATCACTAATCATTAGGGAAATGCAAATCTGGGGGGGGGGAATGCAAATTAATTATCAGAATGGCTAAAACAAAATTAAATAATAAA